CAGAGTCAGCATGGTTTAATGAAGGGTAAATTGTGTCCGACTAATTTGCCAGAATTCTTCAAAGATGCAGCAAGCAAGGTGGAAAATAGGGATCCTACAGACGTAGAATGTCTGGACTTCCAGAAGGCATTTGATAAGGTGCCTTACACAAGGTAGAATCATGTGTGGTTAAGGGTAATTTATTGGCTTGTTACAGAATTAGCTAATCAACAGAAAGCAGAGTCGGGATAAATAGGTCTTTTCCTGTTTGGCAAGATGTAACTAGGGGGTTGTCCCAGGGTTCAGTCCTCATACCCCAAATATTTACTGTCTATATTAATGACCTGGATGCAGAGATAGAAAGAACAGTAGTCAAATTTGCAGATGACTCTAAAATAGGCAGGAAAATAACTTGCATGAGGAATAAAGTAATTTACAAATGGATATGGATAGATTAGGTGAATGGTCCAAAACTTGGCAGATGAAATTTCATGTGGATAAGTGTCCGGTTATCCACTTTGGTCAGAGGAATAGAAAGGCAACTTATTATCCAATTGCAGAGAAACTTCAGAGTGCTTCAGTGCAGAGGGTTCTGTGTGTCCTCATGCATAAATCACAGGAAACTAGTATTACAGGTACAACAGGTAATAAAGTAAACAAATGGAATTTTGGCATTTATTGCTAAAGAAATAGAGTATAAAAGCAGGGAAGTGTTGCCGCAACTGTACAAGGCATTAGTGAGAATGCACCTGGGGTATTGTGTAGAATTCTGGCCCCATTTGTTAAGGGACGATGCAGTTGTATCGGAGGCAGTTCAGAGGAGGGTCACTAGATTGCTTCCAGAGATGAGAGGTTTGTCTTACAAAGAGAGATTGAGCAGTTTAGGCCTATACTGTCTCTAGATGAATAAGAGGATATCTGAGCTATATAAGATGCTAAAGGGGATTGACAAAGTGGGGCAATCTAGAATGAGAGGTCGTAGTTTTAGGATAACGGGTAGCAGATTTAAAGCAGAGATGAGGAGAAATTACTTCTCTCAAAGGGTTGTGAATCTGTGAAATTCACTACTCCAGACTACAGCAGATGCTGGGACAGTGAGTAAATTTAAAGAGGAAAAAAATAAATCTTTGAAGGGTTATGGAGATTGGACAGAAAAGTGAAGTTGAGGCCGAGATGAAAACAGCCATGATCGTATTAAATAACAGAGCAGATGCAAGGGGCTGAATTTCCTACTCTTGCTCCTCATTCATATTTTCTTACCAAAGTCCACATTAGCTACATCAAATGTTTATCAATACTTCTGTTACCTCCTCAGAAGTTCAATTAAATTTGTCAAACATGACTTTCCTTTAATAAATTATCACTGAGTAATTTATGTCTCTCCAAGTGCACATATATTCTGTCCTGCTGAATATTTTCTAATAACTTGCCCGCTCACGGAACTGACTGGCCTATCCTATTGTCACTTCTGTTAAAAATGGGACAACATTACAAGTCCTGTGACACCTCACCTGTGGCCAGAAAAGATCTGAAAATTACCATCAGGCCCATAATATTGCCTTCCTTGCCTCCCTCAACAACCTGGGATACATCTCAACCCGACAAAGTCAATTTAGCCACCTATAAGGCTGTTTAACTTGTTAGTCTCATTTCTTGAAATTTAATTATGGATTTGATCCTTGTTCTCTCGTTTACAATTTGAGGGCCTGTAATACGCATCCAATAAAATGTTTGGTCCATTTGTTTTTTACTTCTACCAATATGGCCTTATTTGATGATCCTTCTGCTTTAATTGATTCCTTGATCAATATTGCGATGCCACCTCTATTTATTCCCCATCTCATCTGAATAGCCTATACCCAGGAATGTTGAGTTGGCAAACTTCCTCATCTTTTAGCCACGTATCATTCATCCACGTATCTACCTGTGTCCTCAGCTTGTCTATCTTAATCCTCACGCACCTTGCATTAAAATATATTTTCTTTAGACTTGCTAAACTCACTTATTTCTTATCGAGTCTATTTTACTCTATCTTCCAGACTTATTAACTTATGTTTTAACTTTAATTTCATCTTAGCTTTCCCCTCTCAGATGTTTGTCAGGATCCCTGCCAATCTAGTTTAAATCCATCCTAACAGCATTAGCAAACCTGCCTGTACAATGTTAATTATTCGTTTCTAGTTACAAAAGTTGGGCAATAACGAATGTTAGGAAAATGACAAAAGTTGACCGGGTAAGTACAAGAAAAGGCACATAAAAGCAGAAATTGATTGACGTTAACCAGTTGGTAAAATCAATTGATTAAGTTGACTGAGACAACAAGGTGTAGAGCTGGATGAACACAGCAGGCCAAGCGGCATCAGAGGAGCAGGAAAGCTGATGTTTCAGGTTTTCTGAAGAAGGGTCTAGACCCAAAACGTCAGCTTTCCT